ACCAGGATCACAGCAGAGCCACCATAGAGGGTGACAGAACGTCAACTTTGGGTATTGTTAGTAGACCGATCGATATCTCATTTAGAGGGTAAAAAAAAGAAAATTGTTACCTGGACTTTTATAAGTGGAAATGGTAAGGGGCTTATAATAAACAAACAAAAAAAATAAATGCGTGAGCCGGGGTGGCGGAGGGTTAATTTGGGGGGTTGAAAAGTTGTGAAAAAATGAATCATTGAGATTTCTGGCGAAAGTTGACAAACAAAAAAGTATTCAATACAAAAGTTGTAGATCATGCAAATATCTACAACTTTTGTAGAGGTCAGTTTAAGATAACCTCAAAATTTCCGAGAAAATGCGTAAATCAGGTTTTTTCTTATTTTTTGTTTTTTATTTCTCATTTCCGCAAATATAATTTTGACGAAACTTGTTGAAAGTATACCTTTCTATATCTTAAATAACCGCAATTTTTTTTTAGATAAAAAAATCAAGAAGTTTCCGAGATATTCATTTTTTCCTGTCTGAAATACTTTTTTTTCCAAGAAAAATTCTACTTAGAAAAATCATCGTACAGAGTTCTGCCGGTGATCATTTTTTTCGGTTTGACATACTTTTTGGTGTAATAAAAAAATCTGTATTCACAGTTCAAAAACATGCTCAAAAATTCAATTGTAAGGAAAAAACAAAAAAAAAAAATAAATAATATTTTTTCCGTGGGATCGATTATTATTTTTTTAAATTTTGATGAATCCATAGATATACAGTGTGTACAAGATAAGGACGAGATAGCATTAGGATTTAAGAAACGGTAAGAGATACGGGGTGACCCAGATTAGAAAAAAGTTGTGTTTTTTTATACTTAACAATATGCAGTTTAGAAAGTTTTAAATTCTTGGTAGTTCTGGAAATATCCGGAAAAATCCGAAATTTTGCGAAATTGTTTAATTTTTTTCTGGCTTTATTTGAAAACGAATTTTAAAATAAATTGCATATTTACAATCAGATTAATTTTTTTAAATATGTCGCTGCTATTTTTATGACCAAATCTAGTCATTTTTAATTCTGAATTAAATGATATTACTATTGTAATCGTTTAAAAAGTCTTTAGCTTGTTTTAGCTATCATTTAAAATTTTTCCTGAGTGCGGCTCTGAACGCTTTCAAAATATCTATTGGATGAAGTCATAACAGTATAAAAGTCAATACCGCACAAAATATCCAACATTTTTTTTACTACTATTAGCAATACTAATTAGAAATAATAGGTAAAACTTTTCATAAATTCGTATTATTTTTTTTATTAGGTACAACTTTTTAAATTATTAATTAAAACAAATTGTTGGATATTTTGTGCGGTATTGCCTTTTATACTGTTATGACTTCATCCAATAGATAATTTGAAAGGGTTCAGAGCCGTAATCAGGAAAAATTTTAAATGACAGCTAAAAACCGTTTTAAGCCATTACAATAGTAACCATCTAATTCAGAATTAAAAATGACTAAATTTTGTCATAAAAATAGCAGCGACGTATTTAAAAAAATTAACCTGATGATGGCCTCTCGAAGACGAAACGTCGGATTGCAAAATTGTTGACGCCATTGGATAGAGCGAAAAAAGTGGCAATGTAAATATGCAATTTATTTTAAAATTCGTTTTCAAATAAAGCCAGAAAAAAATAAAACGATTTGTAAATTTCAGGTTTTCGGGTTTCGTGTCAACAGAAGACTTTGCAGTTAATTACTGAAATCTTAAATTATCCAGAGATAATTTATCATGTGGATTTGTAATTCGACTTAGATGTTTATAGCAATACTGTACAAAAATAAAGTTTTGGGTCAAATAATGAGATAGTTTTTTTATATTTTTTTTCCGTAGAATTGAATGGTGTAATCAGTTTTTGATTTTTTTTAATTTAAACGAATTATCAACATTTACTCAAAAATTCATTGTTGCAAGTAATTTTTAATTTTTTTAGCGTTTTTGAGCATGTGTTTGAACTGTGATTACCGATTTTTTTTAATTCACCAAAAAGTATATGTCGAAACGAAAAAAATAATCACCGGCAGAACTCTGTACGATGATTTTTCTAAGTATAATTTTTCTTTGAAAAAAAAAGTGTCACCGGAAAAAATGAATTTCTCGGAAACTTCTTGATTTTTTATCAAAAAAAAAAAAAAAATAGAAGTTAATTAACACACGGAAAGGTATACTTTCACCAAGTTTCGTCAAAATTAAATTATTTTTGCGGAAATGAAAATTAAAAAACGAAAATTTTTTTCTGATATTCGCATTTTCTCGGAAATTTTGAGGTTATCGTAAAACGTGACCTCTACAAAAGTTGTAGAATTTTGCATGATCTACAACTTTTGCAGTGGATACTTTTCCCCAAATCAACCCTCCGCCTCCCCTGCTCACGCATTTATTTTTTTAGGTTTATTATAAGCCCTTTTATCATTTACACTTATAAAAGTCCAGGTAACAATTTTTTTTTCTTCAAGTGTAATTAGGTTGGACTATAGGTAATAACAAATATATTATTTTTATTCATATCACTTTACATTAATTCAATATAATATACTTTTACATTCACCTTCAATAAATGTGATTAAAATAAAAATAAATTGCAAAATAATATATATGAAATAATCACAATAACAATTTCATTCTTATATCTTATATCAGAAAGAACTTTTGCCTAAACACATATGTAAAATGCAGTTTGCGCACAAATATGTTCCTTCTCAGATGGCAAATTTTGATAAGTAATTCCGTAGCGATTGTAGCAGAATAAGACCTCAAATGGTATTCATAACACTAAGCAACAGTTAAGAACGTTACATGTCTTTGTTTGCATGATTAAATAAATTACAGTTTGTTAGCAAATTTATAAGGATTTGCATGTATATGTTTTTTTGTCATATATTTAAATTTATTTTTGTTATTAATTAAACTTCTAATAGATTGCGGCAACATGTTATAAAATTCAGGAGTATAGTAAGTAATAAATCGTTGCGACATTGAATTATGAACCAACGGCATTATTAAGAATTCATTCCCCTTGTGTCTTGTGTGATAATCGTGAGAGACAGAAGGACATAATTTTATTATTTTTGGTAAGTAATTAAGTGCAGAATGCACATATAAAATTCTCACATTTAATATGTTTGCATATAACAATGCAGTAGGATACATATAATTTTTCTTAAAAATTATTTTCAACAGAGTATTTTGACAGATGGATAACAGTTTTAAAGATTTAGTGTATAAGCTACCCCAAATAATTATACAATATCTTATTATAGATTCAACTAGAGTATTATACAGGGTGATTCATTAACAATGGGAAAGTCGAAAGCTGAAGATGCTACACGTGAAATGGTGACCATTGGCGCAAACATGCCTTATCCGAAAGTTGATAGTTTCGGAAATACAGGGTGTTGAAAGTTAAAATTTTAAATCGTTTTTTGCGATTATTCTGAAAATATGTAGGTTCAGTTTTTGAATCAAGTTTCATGTTAGACATACAGGGTAAAAAGTTATTAACTAAATTTTCGTTAAAATTGGTCGTAAGTGGCGCCCTCTACGAGCAATGCTGAAATTACAACACGCATCTTATTCGTTGCTTAAAAAAATATAGTTTCACTAATTTTCAAGTTCCTAACCTACATATTTTGAGAATAATCACAAAAAAACTATTTAAAATTTTAACTTTTAACACCCTGTATTTCCGAAACTATCAACTTTCGGATAAGGCATGTTTCCGCCAATGGTCACCATTTCACGTGTTGTATCTTCAGCTTTCAATTTTCCCATTGTTAATGAATCACCCTGTATAATTATAATAAGGGGTTATACATTTCGAGCTTGGGATAGTAAAGCTCTGCCAATTGATTTATGTCAAATGTTACTATCATCCACACTGGTATTTGTTTAGTTAAAGGTTTGCCATTTCACAATATGGAACGTTTTACGAAAGAACAATGCATTAAAATTATTAATGCATTGCTATTATGCTACGAAAATGGTGGATCTTCGGTGGCTGCATTACGCGGATTGACATAATCGTCCATCCCAGCAAACAACCACCAATACAGTGAGGAAATTGCCGTAGACTGGATGGGTAACAGACATCGTAAGACCTGTGCATCATCGTTTTGCCCGTTCAATCGAAAACATAGCCGCTGTGAATGAGAGTGTTAACGATGACCTGAATCTTTCGACTTCAAGTCGAGCTCAGCCTGTCATACGGCATATTGTGGCGCCATGATCATAGACTTTTTTTAACCTGAAATTGAAGATTTTCATCTGGACGATATGTGGTTTCAACAAAATGGGGCTACATGCCACACAACGCAGCCAATTATAGCTCCATTGCGCGAGAAATTCCCAGGACGCGTAATTTCGAGATTCGGCAATGTGGCTTGGCCACCAAAATCCTACGATTTAACGCCTTGGGATTTCTTTTTGTAAGGCTATGCGAAAGACCGTGGTTATGCGAACAATACCACAACTTTGGAATAAATGAAGGACGAGATACGTCAAGTTATTGCCCGAACTGTGTGAAAAAGTCTTCGAAAATTAGCTCAAAAAGATTGAGTCCTGCAAACGGTTCCGTGGAGGATATTTGAATGATATTGTTTTTCACGCATAATGGCATAGTCCAAACTTTATTATGAAATAAAAGTACCATCGAAACTTAAATATTCAGTGTGTTTTTTTAAACTTTACTTTCCCAAGGAGAAAGTGGATAACCCGTTATAATGGATTAATCCTCAGTCCTTGTCGCATTTATCAGTTTTATATTTTACATAGGGTCCTTTGAGTCAGTTCACCAATGACTTCTAGCAGTGGAATATGGCCTATTCTCAAATCCAGCAGGGTAAGGTTAAATGAAACTTCTTGAGTAATTGCCCGTCATGCTAAAAATACGCTCTTATCAGAAACACTTATCCAATATTTGTTTTAGATTAAAAGCAACTTTTATTCTCTATAAAAATACGTGTTGGATTACATCAGTTCTTACTTTGTCCCAGAAAGTTCAACGAAAATGTGTAGCGTCGTATCACCTGAAATTTACGAAACCCTGAAGGAAGTGGTCAAAGAGGACATACAAAATTTCGAGATAGTCATACACGACGGCAACAAGAAAGGTGATGGATTTCTGGGGGATATGGTATTCGTTACAATGGAAAATAAACAATCGCACGAGGCGATTCATCTAGTTGTGAAACAAGCTTTTTTAAACCGATCTGCCAGGGACACCGTTCCAATTCGGCAGGTGTTCATAAACGAGATTTACTTCTATACTAAAGTTTGGACACGTCTTAACAAGTTTCAAGAGAGAATTCCGATGCAGTTCCAGTTCCACAAAGTGCCCAAATACTTCACCTCGATTTTGGAAGAGGCTTCGGAGAAATTAGTACTGGAAAATTTGAAATTTCAGAAGTTCGAGATGTATAACAAAAGGATACCTGTGGACAAACAACATTTTGAACTAATTTTCAGGGAGTATGGAAAGTTTCACGCTTTATCATTCGCTTACAAGGCTTTATTTCCTGAAGACTATGCTGATCTAATAAAGGGGACAATAAACATATTTTTAAATTTCACGAATCGAGATGGATTTGCAAATGCAGTGAAAGTCATAAATGATTTTGCCATGGATAGCCTTCAACCAGGAATAGATGACGCTGTTATAGAGAAATTCAGGCGTTATGTCGAAAACCATACGGAGCTGTTTCGGGATAGTTTAACTTGTAAAACCAAATACAGTGTTATTACACACGGTGATTGTAGGAGTAACAATATGATGTTCAAATACAGCGTAAGTAAAACAACAATTTAAGTTGATAGTAATTAAAAATGTTTAACAATGGCTTAGATCAGTTTAAATTTTGAACTGTGTAAATTATACAGGGTAGCCCATCGAAAACGTACCGCAAGGCATTACAGAGTAGTAAAGAACTTTTTGGCAAAATCCAAGAACAGGTCAAATTTGTTTCTGAGGGGGACAACTTTTGGCTCAAAAAGCATACCAAAATCTTCAACCCCCTAAGTGGGTGTGCTATCCCCTAAATTTTTTCAAATGGGAATGGGGGTCAAGTGGGGGGTCATTAGAAAGGGCTTTTAATTCTCTATACATCGATTCTTACTTTTTGAAAATCGATTCATTATTTTAGAAAATATGCAGCTTTGAAAATACGAACAATATTTTTGACGAGAAATGCGAAAATCGATTTAATTTTACTTCAAAACTTACGGTATTAGTCAAGTAAATGCTGAAAATGTTGTCCGCCAACTTGCATACAATGATACAGGTTGTCTTCAAACCGTTGTCGAACATTCTGGAGCACTTGCGGTGTTACTTCGCGACATACATTAATGATTCGTCCTCGCAGATCTTCCAAGGTATCAGGTGGAGTGCTGTAAACTTTGCTTTTAATGTGCCCCCAGAGAAAGAAATCTAAAGGATTTAAGTCGGGTGACCGAGGGGGCCACTCAATTGCACCTCTTCGTCCTATCCAGCGTCCTGGAAACGTCTCATTTAGGTAATTGCGCACATTGAGCGAGTAATGTGGAGGAGCTCCGTCTTGCTGGAAAATCAGTTCGTGTTCATTGTAAGCAGGGTCGTCCTCTATGATATTTGTTAGAGCTGGGTCGATGACATTTTGTAGTAAATCCAAGTACATATCGCCTGTCAAATTTCCAGGAAGGAAAAAAGGACCTACAATGGAATTTCCAAAAATACCTGCCCATACATTCAACTTCTGGGGGTGTTGGGAGTGTGTCTCATGGAAAATCCTTGGATTGGTATCAGCCCAGTAACGACAATTATGGCGATTCACTAAACCATTCAAGAAGAACGTACACTCGTCCGAAAAACACACATTAAAGAGGAAATTATCGTTTATCGCTCGTTCAGTCATTATTTCGCAAAATTGCAAACGACGATCAAAATCGTCTTCATTTAGCTCTTGCACTAGCCGAATCTTATAAGGATGGAATTTGTATTTTTTTAATATTCGTTGGACACTTGTACGACTCACTCCTGTCGCAGTAGCCAATTGCATTGTACTCAGCGTACTATCCATTGCCACTTGCCCCAATACCGCTATTTCCGTAGGTTCATTTAGTACCGGATTTTCAACCTGCCTCTTTTTGTTATGAACGGAGCCAGTTTCGCGAAATTTGGCCACCAATTCGCGAACAATTTTTCCAGACGCATGTTTCTCAGGATGCCGTTGGTTGAACAGTTCGGCGACCCGATTTCCGCATTCATTGTTTTTGAAAAAAAGCTCAATAATTTCTACTCTTTCTGGAATTGAGTACACCATAATTAATCAATTTAAAAGACTCGGCAGTATTGGTACTCTTCAACTACAAGTCACAAGACAGTTATCTAGCAACTTCTTGTGGCCTATCTAAATACGAAACAAAAAGCGGACAATTTTTTGCTCACCAAAATCAGGCTAAAGAATTCGCAAATCAGAAAAAAAAACAGCGAATTCTTTTGAAGGAATTTACCAAGCTAATACCGTAAGTTTTGAAGTAAAATTAAATCGATTTTCGCATTTCTCGTCAAAAATATTGTTCGTATTTTCAAAGCTGCATATTTTCTAAAATAATGGATCGATTTTCAAAAAGTAAGAATCGATGTATAGAGAATTAAAAGCCCTTTCTAATGACTCCCCACTTGACCCCCATTCCCATTTAAAAAAATTTGTGGGATGGCACCCCCACTTAGGGGGTTGAAGATTTTGCTATGCTTTTTGCGCCAAAAGTTGTCCCCCTCAGAAGCAAACTTTACCTGTTTTTGAATTCTGCCGAAAAATCCATTACTACACTGTAATGCCTTGCGGTACGTTTTCGATGGGCTATCCTGTATATTGTTATGGATAGAAATATTTATGTGTATGCGCCAATATTGTTATGAGTAGTAATATGTATGTGTATGTAATTTGTTTGTGTAATTAATATAATAATGATTCTGTTGTGTATATGTGTATGTTGTAATTTAAGTTGTCAATTATACCCTGGCTAGCTTTCGACCCTTCCCAGTAGTGAGTTCAAATAAGGTTAAAACTCTGCAGAAAACCAAACACACCACACTAAACAAAAGATATTAATCAGAAATTAATTTATTTATTAGTTTATTATTTTTTTTATCTAACACTCAATTATTACTGTGAAATGTCATACACAATTTCAGGAATATTTGGAATTATCTTATAGCACTTTTATGACACTTTGATTTTTCATATAGTGGTATTCAAATCGATTTATTATAGTGTATTGTTGGTTGCCAATACAAAAGGCGATAAAATTTGATCTTAAAATTTCTTTCTCATTGTTATTTATCAAAATTTTAATATGGCCAAATTTTTTTTATAATTATTCGTATAGTGAAGTTAAATTTATTTAATATCTATCAGGGATGAAGAATTTGTATTTATTTCAAATTTATTTTCAAGAAAGACTACTTTAAATTTTATTATTATTAGTTCTATAGAAATTTTGTATTACTTTTGAGATTATATTTATTCTCTTTTGCTAGCTAGCTTTATCTTATACGATTTTGTAATTCTTTGTGCACAAAGCTACCTCTACGTATATATTGTCAATTTTTATTGTCGAACTGCCTGTCCTCTTATACTCGGCCTGGATATCGTCCTGGAATTTTCGTCTTCCTCCAGTTAATGGATAGCCGGAACCTGCTGCTTACTTTTATGCGTCTGAAATCTCGTCCTTTAAATTTTCTTTACGCTTGTTGACTAACTTTAATTATCTTACTATTTTCCACTATAATTATTTCTATTTACATGGGTTTTTCCCACATTACTTCTTTTCAACACCTCTCACTGACAAATTCTTCTCGTAACTAATCAATAGTCTCCTAAATTTTTATTTTTCCCACTCTTGATTTTTTCTTCCTTGTTAGGGCGTTTTCACATATGTGCCTGTTCTTTTATATTCCGGTTTTTTTCCACTTCACTTTACTTCAATTTACTTCACTTTATAATTTACAATTTTACAATCACATTCCAGTTTATTTACACAAATTTTAACCTATGTTTCAAAATATTCCTTACTTCTATATTTGTATTTGAATTTCATATGTAATATTTTATGACTTGTGAATCCAACTTTATTTTTGACATTTCACTGACGTTATAATCCTACTGATATATAAAATTTTTAGACCGATCAAAATAACTCATTTAGAGGGGAAAAAAAGAAAATTGTTACCTGGACTTTCATAAGTGGAAATGGTAAAGGGGCTTATAATAAACGAAAAAAAAAATAATAATTGCGTGAGCAGGGGTGGCGGAGGGTTGATTCGGGGGGTTGAAAACTTACGAAAAATTGTATCATTGGGATTTCTGGCGAAAGTTGACGTCAAATAAAAAAGAATCTAATACAAAAGTTGTAGATCATGCAAAAATCTACAACTTTTGTAGAGGTAATTTTTAAAGATTTTTCGTTTTTTATTTCTCATTTCCGCAAAAATAATTTAATTTTGACGAAACTTAGTGAAAGTATACCTTTCTCTGTCTTAAATAACCTCAATTTTTTTAAGATAAAAAAATCAAGAATTTTCTGATATTCATTTTTTTCGGCCTGAAACACTTTTTTTTCAAATTAAAATTCTACTTAAAAATATCATCGTACAGAGTTCTGCCGGTAGTCATTTTTTTCGTTTTGACATATACTTTTTGACGAAATAAAAAAAATTTGTAATCACAGTTCAAAAACATGCCCAAATATGCAAAAAAGTAAAAAATTACTTGCGGCAATGTATTTTTCAGTAATTGTTGATATTTTGTTTAAATTTAAAAATAATCAAAAACTGATTACACCATTCAATTGTACGGAAAAAATATAAAAAAACTGTCTCATTTACCCAAAACTATTTTTGTACAGTATTGCTATAAACATAAGTCGAATAGTGAATAAATAAAATAAATAATAATTTTTTTCCGTAGGATCGATTAGTGTACATATTTTTTTTAAGGTTTGATGAATTCATAGATATACAGTGTGTCCAAGATAAGGATGGGATAGCATTAGGATCTAGGAAACGGTTAAGAGATACGGGGTGGTTCATATTAGAATAAAGTTGTTTTTTATACCTAACAATATGCTGTTTAGAAAGTTTTAAAATTCCGGGTAGTTCCGCAGATACCCGGAAAAATCCGAAATTTTGCAAAATTGTTTAATTTTTTCTGCATTTATTTGAGAACGAATTTTAAAATAAATTACATATTTACAATGCCACTTTTTTTGCTCTATACAATGGCGTCAACATTTTTGCAATCAGACGTTTCGTCTTCGAGGGGCTATCATCGGGTTAATTAAATAAGTCGCTGCTATTTTTCTGACAAAATCTAAAGTAATTTTTAATTCTGAATTAGAGGATATTACTATTACAATCGCTTAAAAAGTTTTTAGATTGTTTTAGCTATAATTTAAAATGTTTCCTGAGTACGGCTCTGAACGCTTTCAAAATATCTATTTTATGAAGTCATAACAGAATACAAGTCAATACCGCACAAAATATCCAACAATTTTTTACTGTTAGCAATACTAATTAGAAATAATAAAATATTTCATAAATTCGTATTATTTTTTTATTAGGTACAACTTTTTAAATTATGGATTAAAAAAAATTGTTAGGCATTTTGTGCTGTATTGACTTTTATTCTCTCCTCTCTCTCGCTCTCTTCCAATAGATACAGGTATTTTCAAAGCGTTCAGGGTCGTACTCAGGAAAAATTTTTAATGATAGCTAAAAACCTTTTTAAGCGATTACAATAGTAATATCATCTAATACAGAATTAAAAATGACTAGGTTTTGTCATAAAAATAGCAGCGATGTATTTAGAAAAATTAATCTAGTGATGGCCCCCCGAAGACTAAACGTCGGATTGCAAAAATGTTGACGCCATTGGATAGAGCGAAAAAGTGTCAATGTAAATATGCAATTTATTTAAAATTCGTTTTCAAATAAAGCCAGAAAAAAATAAAACAATTTTGCAAAATTTCGGGTTTTCGGATTTCGCGTCAACAGTAGACTTTGCAGTTAATACTTTGTATTGCTGAAATCTCAAATCATCCAGAGGTAATTTATCATTTGTGCATTTGTAATACGACTTAGATGTTTATAGCAATACTGTACAAAAATAAAGTTTTGGGTCAAACAATGACAGTTTTTTTTATTTTTTTCCGTATAATTGAATGGTGTAATCAGTTTCTGAATGTTTTGTAATTTAAACAAATTATCAACAATAACTGAAAAATTCATTGACTTGCGTCATTTTTATTTTTTTTAATTTTTGAGCATGTTTTTGAACTGTTATTATAGACTTTTCTTATTTCACCAAAAAGTATATGTCAAAACGAAAAAAATTATTACCGGCAGAATTCTGTTTTTAAGTAGAAGTGTTTCAGGCCGAAAAAAATGAATCTCTCAGAAACTTTTTGATTTCTTTAACTAAAACAATTTGAGGTTATTTAAGACAGAGAAAGGTATACTTTCACCAAGTTTCGTCAAAATTAAATTATTTTTGCGGAAATAAGAAATAAAAAACGAAAAATCAGAAAAAAACTGTTTTTCGCATTTTTCTAGGAAATGTTGTGGTCATGTTAAAAAGTGACTTCTACAAGAGTTGTAGATTTTTGTATGATCTACAACTCTTGTAGAGGATACTTTTTTGTTTGACGTCAACTTTCGCCAGAAATCCCAATGATACAATTTTTCATAACTTTTCAACCCCCCCAAATCAACCCTCCGCCGCCCCTGCTCACGCATTTATTTTTTTTTAGGTTTATTATAAGCCCTTTTACCATTTCCACTTATAAAAGTCTAGGTAATAATTTTTGTTTCTCCAAGTGTAATTTGGTTGGACTATTTACTTTAGACATTAATATTTCTTGATATTTATTTTTCTTACTCATAATACTACTATTAAATAAAACTATATTTTAGCTTTCATTTGCTATATGTCACTTGCTATTACGAATTAATTTTGATTATGTTTTTCCTTCTTCTTTTGTTCTTCGAATCAAAGTAAAAACACGATATTTGCCAGTTTGCTCGAAATGTGGACTATAATTTCATTGATTTCTGTTTCTAGGAAGACAGAAAATTAATCGACATAAGATTCTTCGATTTTCAACTGACAAGGGAAGGATCGCCGTGTTGCGACCTGAGCTACTGTTTTTATTCGGGAGCATCAGGGAAATTGCTGAACGATTTGGATTATTTCCTGCAAATCTACCACGATAGTCTATCGGAAACTCTGAAAGCGTTTGGATGCGATCCTCAAAAACTGTATCCTTTTCAGGAGTTGAAGAATGGCTGGAAAAGGTACTCTAAAGTCGGTGTCACGATGGGCCTGTTGATATGGAAAATAAAATATACTTCAGATGAAAGTCTGCCCGATCTCAACGACGTTAACATGTCATCCAAAGAGAAAGAGCAAATGCTCTACAATTGTTATGACAAGGATGCATTTAAGAAGATTTGTAGAGATTTAATTTTGCACTTGAACAAAAATGATTATCTGTAGTTGTATTATTCTAATAAATGAATGTTGTTTTTTATCTTATACATTATACTCTACACTTATAGTCTGTTTAGAAATGAAAGAGAGTAATAAAAGCTCATTATGTATGCAAATCGTAAATAAATGTAGTACTGGTGCTTATATTCAATATTTTTATATTATGTATTTTCCGTAAAGATGAGGTGTACTTTTAAAAAAACTTTGTGCGATCGGACTGTACTAAATTGTAGCAGGTAGCTAAAATTTAATCCCCGACAATCCGTCTTTGTCTATGCCGCTTCAATTTCTCGGTCCATTTCTCTTATAAGTAAACAATATAAAAACAGCATTTCAAAACATGAGGCTACTTTAAGCATCATAACCGGGTTAAGAGGGTTTTTAGTAATTCAAATAAAATTATTCAATATTATTATCAAAATATTTATTTAAATTTAATGAATAGACTTTTATTCCACACAAAAATATATGTATTTTGAAAATTCAAATTATGGTGAGTAAATGTAGTGTTGTATAAATGTACAATAAAGAAAATAAAAAAGTAGGTATATTAAAATTCATCCTCTGAATATTCTGATGAATTATCTTCGTCTCCTAGATTGATAACGATAGGTTCCACAGTAACGTCAATTAAATTATCGAGTTCCCACATTTTCTCCTCTTCTTTTTGTACATGATGTATACATCTTTGCCAGTTATCTGCAGTTACTCGTTCCAAGGAATTTTTTAACAAAATTTTCACGTCACTTAATTTAAACGTCGTATTATTTCGCGCTACATCTCCTTTTACCTGCGCCCAGACTAATTCGATTGGGTTAAGTTCACAGTGATAAGGTGGTAACCGTAGTACCGTTATTTGGCGATTTGTTGCCATTTCATCGATAACATATTTTTTCTGATCTTTATTAAGATTGACAAGTGTCAAAAGTTCCTTTTTCACCATATTTGTTTCAAAAGAAATGTTTTTTCCGGATAACCATTGAATTATATCGGCTTTCCTCCAAGCAGTCGTAGGCGTCCGCTCGGTCTGCCGTGAATGGTAACTGGCATTATCCATGACAATTACAGACCCCGGAGGAATAAGATCCAACATCTGTGTAAAATACTCTTCGAAAACATCTGCGTTCATGTCTTCGTGATAGTCACCTGTATTTTTAGATTCAAATAAAAGTAAACCGCCATCTACAAAACCACTGGCACTACCTATATGTGTCACTATTAATCTTCGCCCTTTACCTGAAGGTGCCTTGAACCCTGTTGAAAGTCCATCCAAAAATGCTTGTCGAAAACTTTTTACATTTTTATCTTGCCATACTTTTGTTACAGTATATCCCTCGTTGACCCAAGTTTCGTCTAGATAATAAATATTCCTCCCTTCGTCACGGAATTTTCTAATTGATCTTAAGTAGGATCTTCGCCAACAAATAATTTCATCTTTATCGATAAGAACTGACTTCCTGTTCTGCTTTTCCCAGCAAAAATTCAACTCTCGTAAGACGGCCCATAATTTGCTTCTACTGATTTTTGGCAAATCGTTGTCCTCTGAAAGTTCACTTAAAATTTTGTTTAGCGTTGGTATTTCTTTTTTAAAATAAAATGAGTGTACTTTTCTGCGAATGACATTTTTGAAGAAATCATCTATAACGACTTTTGACCTCCCTGTAGATGATTTTGGGGGATTTACAGTATCTTGTTCATTTTTTGTTTCCTTTAAAAGTCTGTAGATAGTCGATTTTCCAATCCCTGTCATTTTGGAACACTTTTCCACGATGTCGTCAACACTGTTGGTAGGATTTTGGTGTTTCAATGCATTAAATACATTTAATATAATAATCTTCTCATTCTGAGACAGCGCACATCTTTTCACGCGTTTAGCAGGTACGTAATCTGATAAGCTCGACATTTTACCCAAACAATATTATATCCACTGGCACAATAGTCACTAAACACAAGTCGAATTTTACTCTACTGCACTAGCACGTCTTCGTATATTCAGCTCTAAGACTGGATTGATCTGTCACAATACACTGGCTCCTGCCCTATGATGTATCCAGTAAAATATACTAATGCACACCCATTACCTGTTAGCATTAGTGTTACCCGATAATTACCTGAAACGAAATATTAGCACGTCCATGGCCGGTTCTTATCTCGGGGTTTTATTACTCTCTTTCATTTCCAAACAGAGTATAATTTAGGTAAATAGGTAGCAGATGGTGGTACGACTGTAACTAATGTTGATGAAGAATTTTCAATTCTATGGTCTTTCTGATTAGTGTTCAATGCAGGAACATTTTAAAACATACGTAAAATTATTCATACTTCATTACTAATGTGTGGGGGCTACAAAGACTTTATATATATACATATAAAAAAAAATATATAACAGCACCATTGATGGATGATCTTTGTATCAGAACAGCAAGAACCAATAACCACAAGCCATGGACACAATCTCCAGCATCAAAATTTCTTCTTCTTCCTGTCCAACCTTGACATACATATACCTATAAATACAGGGTGTAAGAAGTTTTACTGCCATTATTTCAGCATGAGATAGAGTAATCATAAATGAACAAAATAGTTGTTGCATTGCAGGGGCGTAAGGTTATCAGTTTTCAAAAAAACAGAGAGTATTAATATTGGGGAATTTCACCACAACGTGACAACAGCGCTACACAGCTGATGCACATCACGTGCGCACGCGACAGACTTGTCCTAAGGAAAAAATGTAAACAACTATTATTGTAAAACATTTAGTAAATTTCAAGACAATTGCTTTCCAGTTTTTAAATAAATAAAATAAAATGTATCGATTTTGTAGTACGAAGATAGTGTTGTGCTTACATTTTTTGCTCGAATTTTAGTAATTATGAATCTCTTAAACCATTCACGCTGTCCAAATAATCATACGTATTAAAAATAATTTAGGGACTTACCAAAAAGCAAAATTCAGTAATTTTTAAACGCACAAGTACAAACCAAACTACTAAATATGCTCAACATGTCCACCACGCGAACTCACTGGAAAACACCTCAAGAAAAGGAAATAGTGGTACGCAAAAAACACTAAGACACGGTCAAATTCCAGATACCAACTGAATTGCGTGTTGTTGGACAGCTTGGTACCTCGTGTTATCCGCCGCGCCGTTATCACATTGCTCGATATGAATTTTATCGAATTTTAAATTTATTTCAATGCTAATTATTTTTTAGAATTAATCATAAAGAAGTTCAAGAACGTGACAAACATTGTATTTTATGGTATTCTATGCACGCAGTTATGTCAATATTCTTTAATTAATTGAACTTTTGTACATCAAGTTGGAGATTTTTAATTTTTTCTTGGAAATGGTTGAATTTAGGGCCCATGTCATAGTTTTTTTTTGTTTATCTTAATGTATTCTATCGCCTGTTAAAATTAAGGCAGTCAAACTTCTAATATCCTGTATATGCATCACACAAAGTTAGGTTACTCTTGTGCTTTTATATTCTTTTTATATTCTTTTAAAAATGGATGTTATATTAAATTCCAAATTATTATTTATTCCTCTTTTACATAAATGTTATATTTTTGTCATTATTTTTTGAACTCAATTATATTTTCATGTAACTGTGTTTCTAAATATTCAGGTGCTACAATCATTTAAACTTACATAAAAATAAATAACTCTGATTATTTTATCGTCTATTTACTTTTCTTGGATCAAAGAGCCACCAATTGTTATTTGTCATATCTACTGCGTATTTAGGGTGAAAAAGCGAATTTTGGAAGGTTATAATAAGAGGTCATATGATTTCAGTAAATATTGAACTTATAAATAAAGATTAGGTGCAATTGAAGAGAATTATATTTTCTTAAAATCCGCTATTTTACATAGAAATGTTTTTTTTTTGCAAAAACTACGCAACTTAGGTATAGGGAAAGCTATTAAAAAATCGTAGGGTTTACAGAAAGACATCTAATATTATCATAAAACACAGGGTGTTCTATTTCAAAAAGTCGAGATTTTTCAAATTTTAAATGATCAGATTTGCCCCCTGTATATCGCAGGTCAATTTTTGATACGTTTTTTGAAAGAGCCATCTTCACTCTACAGTTCCTGAAAAAAATATTTTCTGGCTGTCATACAATCATAATCTTATGTCAACTACTAGAAGTGACGAAACATAAGAAAAAAAAATTAAAAGTCAATTATCTCGAAAACTATCAATATTTTAATAAGGATCATAACACAAAGCCCCGTTAATTTTTCACGTAGAATTCGATAATGCCATAAAAAATATAGGTTTCCATTAAAAAAAATTAAGTTGGCACCTGCCCAGGAAAAACTGAACACCCTGTATATGCAAGTATATTTTCATTTTGTGCAGCTCGGGAAAGTAGGCAACTCTGTAGAAAAAAAAAATAAGTTATATCTTTTATTAACCTAGATATTGGATTTACAGGCAATAGGTGGACACGATGTATAATAGCTTTAGGATTAAGCCCCTACATCTTCCTGCAAGCCCAGATGGATGAAGCAGTCTTTTGCAAATATGTGTATCTAGGTGAATTTATCGTCTAGAGTAATTGAGGATCCGTCCAATCCATTTTCTGGTCGAAATGAATGGATTGATCCTTTCTTTTTATTTTACTTAGGGTCACTAATGACTCCTGGTAGGGGAATACGACACACTTTTCAAATCCAGTACGGAAAGATTCACCAAAACTTCTTGCGTAATTGCTAAAAATATGTTATCACAAATACATATGTAAAATTTGTTTTAGATAACATGCACCTTTTGTTTTCTATAAAAATACGTGTTGAATTACGTTGGTTTTTAGTTTTTACAAGTACGATCAACGAAAATGTGTAGCATTGTACCACCTCAAATTTACGAAACCCTCAAAAAGGTGGTCAAAGGGGACATAAACAATTTTGAGATAGTTATTCACGATGCCAACAAGAAGGGCGAGGGCTTTCTGGGGGATATGGTATTCGTAACACTGGAAAATAAACAATCGAACGAGGTGATTGATCTGGTGGTGAAACAAGCGTTTACGAAGCAAATTATCAGAGACATGACTCCAATTCGGCAGGTGTTTATGAATGAGATTTACTTTTATACTCAAGCTTGGAAACACCTGAACAAATTCCAAAGGTCGATTCCGATGCATTTACAGTTCCACAAGGTGCCCAAATGTTTCACCTCGATTTCTGAGGATGGTTCGGAGAAATTAGTATTAGAAAACTTGAAATTTCAGAAATTCGAGATGCACAACAAAAAGATACCTTTGGACAAACAACATTTTGAATTAATTTTCAGGGAGTATGGAAAATTTCATGCTTTATCATTCGCTTACAAGTGTTTGTACCCCGAGGACTATGCTGATCTAGCAAAGGGGATAATAGATGTATATTCATATTTCATGAATATGGATGGATTTACAAAATCAATTGATGCCATATATGATCTTGTCATGGATAGCCTACAACCAAGAATAGATGACGTTGTTATAGAAAAATTCAGGCCTTATTTCGAAAATCATATGGAGCTGTTTCGGGATAGTATAGACTGTAACACTAAGTATAGTGTTATTACACATGGCGATTGTTGGAGTAACAATATGATGTTCAAATATAGTGTAAGTAAAACGTAAAAAAATTAAGGTTTTCCATTTCTGCTTTGTCACTTGAAGTTTCCATAGCATATCAGTATTTAACTTACATGTTTAGATAGATGGATGGATGGATGGATGGATGGATGGAGGGAGGGAGGGAGGGAGGGAGGGATNGATAGATAGATAGATAGATAGATAGATAGATAGATAGATAGATAGATAGATAGATAGATAGATAGATAGATAGATAGATAGATAGATAGATAGATAGATAGATAGATAGATAGATAGATAGATAGATAGATAGATAGATAGATAGATAGATAGATAGATAGATAGATAGATAGATAGATAGATAGATAGATAGATAGATAGATAGATAGATAGATAGATAGATAGATAGATAGATAGATAGATAGATAGATAGATAGATAGATAGATAGATAGATAGATAGATAGATAGATAGATAGATAGATAGATAGATAGATAGATAGATAGATAGATAGATAGATAGATAGATAGATAGATAGATAGATAGATAGATAGATAGATAGATAGATAGATAGATAGATAGATAGATAGATAGATAGATAGATAGATAGATAGATAGATAGATAGATAGATAGATAGATAGATAGATAGATAGATAGATAGATAGATAGATAGATAGATAGATAGATAGATAGATAGATAGATAGATAGATAGATAGATAGATAGATAGATAGATAGATAGATAGATAGATAGATAGATAGATAGATAGATAGATAGATAGATAGATAGATAGATAGATAGATAGATAGATAGATAGATAGATAGATAGATAGATAGATAGATAGATAGATAGATAGATAGATAGATAGATAGATAGATAGATAGATAGATAGATAGATAGATAGATAGATAGATAGATAGATAGATAGATAGATAGATAGATAGATAGATAGATAGATAGATAGATAGATAGATAGATAGATAGATAGATAGATAGATAGATAGATAGATAGATAGATAGATAGATAGATAGATAGATAGATAGATAGATAGATAGATAGATAGATAGATAGATAGATAGATAGATAGATAGATAGATAGATAGATAGATAGATAGATAGATAGATAGATAGATAGATAGATAGATAGATAGATAGATAGATAGATAGATAGATAGATAGATAGATAGATAGATAGATAGATAGATAGATAGATAGATAGATAGATAGATAGATAGATAGATAGATAGATAGATAGATAGATAGATAGATAGATAGATAGATAGATAGATAGATAGATAGATAGATAGATAGATAGATAGATAGATAGATAGATAGATAGATAGATAGATAGATAGATAGATAGATAGATAGATAGATAGATAGATAGATAGATAGATAGATAGATAGATAGATAGATAGATAGATAGATAGATAGATAGATAGATAGATAGATAGATAGATAGATAGATAGATAGATAGATAGATAGATAGATAGATAGATAGATAGATAGATAGATAGATAGATAGATAGATAGATAGATAGATAGATAGATAGATAGATAGATAGATAGATAGATAGATAGATAGATAGATAGATAGATAGATAGATAGATAGATAGATAGATAGATAGATAGATAGATAGATAGATAGATAGATAGATAGATAGATAGATAGATAGATAGATAGATAGATAGATAGATAGATAGATAGATAGATAGATAGATAGATAGATAGATAGATAGATAGATAGATAGATAGATAGATAGATAGATAGATAGATAGATAGATAGATAGATAGATAGATAGATAGATAGATAGATAGATAGATAGATAGATAGATAGATAGATAGATAGATAGATAGATAGATAGATAGATAGATAGATAGATAGATAGATAGATAGATAGATAGATAGATAGATAGATAGATAGATAGATAGATAGATAGATAGATAGATAGATAGATAGATAGATAGATAGATAGATAGATAGATAGATAGATAGATAGATAGATAGATAGATAGATAGATAGATAGATAGATAGATAGATAGATAGATAGATAGATAGATAGATAGATAGATAGATAGATAGATAGATAGATAGATAGATAGATAGATAGATAGATAGATAGATAGATAGATAGATAGATAGATAGATAGATAGATAGATAGATAGATAGATAGATAGATAGATAGATAGATAGATAGATAGATAGATAGATAGATAGATAGATAGATAGATAGATAGATAGATAGATAGATAGATAGATAGATAGATAGATAGATAGATAGATAGATAGATAGATAGATAGATAGATAGATAGATAGATAGATAGATAGATAGATAGATAGATAGATAGATAGATAGATTTATTTAGTTCAGATGCAATATACATCATGCTCAAAAATGAGCGTTGAACATGTCAAGTTAAAAAAAAAACAGTGCAAATATGACAAACTAATGCTAACATTAAAATAAAAGTACAAAATCACATAGGAAAAAAAATGAATGATATTGTATGAGATAATGTTGTTCTTAGTACTTCATACCCTTAACTGTTGCATTGAATCATCAAAGATGGTTTATTTGGTGTTCAAATTTGGTATAAAATGATATGAAATAACACGTAAATTATATTTTAAAGTAGACTGTAAAATCATCACCAAATCGTCACAATAGTTGACAGTACTATTAAAAATGATTAACAACTGCTTAGTTCAGATTAGATTTAGAACTGTGTAAATAATAGTGGAGTAAAGGTAGCTTAAAAATATGCATTATTTCGGAATAATTAGCAGAGCCTTGGATTTTCATAAAACCTTTTGCAATCGCCTTGAAATGGCTTATAGAAAAAAATTATAAACTTATATTTGTACGCTAATTGTTTCAACAATAAAAAATGGTTTTTCAAAGATTATTTTAAATAAATCAAAAAATTTCAAACCAATTTTAATCAAATTGATACTATGGGGTTTTCGAGGTCACTGAATAAGAATATAATGTTAAAAAATACCGACATTCTTTAAACAATTTATTAAAAAATTACAATTTTCAAAGCAATTTTAATCAAATTGATATTATAGGGGTATAGTCGCTGAACAAGAATATTATATCAGAAAATGAAAATTCAAAATGACTGATCCAATATGGCCGACTTTAAAAAAAAATTATTTAAAAATTACCAATTTCAAAGTAAATTTAGTTAAATTGACATTTTGGTGGTTTTTGAGGTCTCTGAACAAGAATATTATATCAGAAAATGAAAATTCAAAATCGCTGATCCAATATGGCCGACTTTTTTAAACGATTTATTTAAAGATTTAGGGTTCTACAAAAAGTCAATATATGGGATTTTTTATTAACAAATTTATTAAATATAAAATAGTATTTGCATATTAAAAATGGAAATATAAAAAAATAACAATATTCAATTTTCATTCTCTTGAATCTTTGTAAGTTCTGGCAATTTGTCTTATCCTCGTTCATCTTTGAAAAATGCTTGGCAATCAGTTCCGGAACAATTAGAGCTATGCTATGCTATGGTGCAAAATAGACCCGCCTTCCGGCAACCGCAATTATTAGCACAGCCATTTTGCATTCGCAAAAAATTATTCTGAGAAGTTTACTTGGTGCGGGATCTTGAGTCATAAAAGTAGCATGCGCCAGGTGAACTCCATTCACCTTCATTCTTTTTTTTGTTCTAATATGTGACCTAAAAAATCAAATTTGCTTATTTTTAAATTATTGAATATTTCGGGCGTTGTATTTTTCGAATTAAAATTTTAAGATTTTTTTTAATATCACACTATTTCGAACGCTATTTCAAGAGTAATATGAAAATTTTAGATTTTTATCTTAAAAATTAAAATAATGGCAGATCTTTAATTTTGTAAAAAATTCTAATGTTACGTAACTTTATTTACACACTATTCCTGTAAATAAGATTCCTCTTTCATTTAAATTTTTGTAGATTTAATTTGACCAAATAGATCAAAAGATATAACAAAGGACCACGCTCAATCCTTATGGAAAATAGGTTTCGTCCAATTTTTCTGAAACTTGGCAAATCTGTAGTTCTTAACAGGCTCATCAAAAGTCTCAATGGGCACAAAGCCCAAAAACCTCTCCAACCCTTTTGAATTCGACCCCCAAGGGCGATCATAGGCCGATTGCCTTACAGCAATATTATACAGCCATAAAATAATTAGTAGTAACCCACCCAATGACTTAGACAGTGACTTTTATCTTCTTGCCATTCAGTTACTTATCCCACTCTGCTACCACCACTCCACTATAATACGTAAATAAAATTTTACTAGCAAGCTACTACACCAGCTAATAATTCTTTTCTTTTTTCTTTTGTTCTTTAAACGTGTAATAGTATCAAAGTACAAGATTACAAAGTAGATTCTTACATTTATTGATTACTATTTCTAGGAAGACAGAAGATTAGTCGACATTAGATTCCTAGATTTTCAATTGTCAAAGGAAGGTTCTCCTTGTTGCGACTTGAGCTACTGCTTCTATTCGGGCGCATCAGATGAAATGCTGAAGGATTTGGATTATTTCCTGCAAATCTACCACGAGAGTCTTTCAAAAACTCTGAAAGCGTTTGGATGTGATCCTGAAAAACTGTATCCTTTTCAGGAGTTGAAGAATGACTGGAAAAAGTACTGTAAAATGGGCGTGACAATGGCCCTGATGGTATGGAAAATAAAATGCACTTCTGAAGAAAATATAATCGATCTCAATGATGTTGACAGGCCAGCCGAAGAGAGAGAACGAGCATACAGTGTTTATGACAAAGATGCATTTCAGAAGATTTGTCGAAATTTAATTTTTCACCTGCACGAAAATGATTATCTGTAACTGTATGATTCAAATAAATACATGTTTTTTATCTTACATTACCATAATAGATGATAGATTGCACCTCATTTTGATGAAGGTTTTTTTCTGTGGTATTATTGATTCCTCGTCAAACTAACAATGTTTGTCAATTACAGTGATAAATAAATTATTAAAACAATTGGGAGTTATCAACTTATTTTTATGGAATAATCTCCGAAATAGATATACCAAATGTGACTTTTCGTATTTATTATTCGAAGAATACATGTGATGGTACATCTAATCGCATGAGGTTACCAAAATATTATCAACATTTTTAGAAATATTCATAAGAAAAGCTCTATACAAAAAGTCCTTTTTTTCAATAATTGTAATTTTAAGTACTCGGAAAGTCGCTTCTTTTTTTATAAAAAAAATTTAAATTCTGTTTATTGGTTTTCGAAATATAAGCGGTGAAAGTTTATCGGCATTTACCGTTAATTTATAAACAATTTATTAATAATCTTTGATCCAGTGGCTTCGTTTTTCCGAGTTCTAAGCTGGAAAAAATGTTCATATCCATAAGTTATCGGCAACATACATAACAGATAAATCAGCGGAAAAGCTGTCGCTCGCACGAGCCAGATGTGACTCAAAACACGAAAAATGAGAGAGAGGACTGAATTCGGAGGTTCAAAATGCGAAGGTACGAAAAAATTGCATTATCTCTGCATATAAAAAAACTATTGCAAATTGATAAATATAATCTAATTGCTTAAATAAAAAAAAGAGTGCTAACTTTAAAAATTTACTGTGGCCGTCCTAATCAATTGAATTAAATTTTTCAACAACCATTTGAAATGTTGAGCGGTCTTTTCTATGTGAAAAAAAGTATCTAGATGCTTTATTTGAGGATGTGCAACATTTAGAAAATTTTTTTCAAAATGTTTTTCAGAAAATTATTTTAGCGAAAACTATCGATTGTTGTCTCAGCTGTAGAGGAATTTCTTCAAGAAGAACAGGTAACTCTTCCTGTAGGAAATTAAGATAAGATTCGCCTGTTAGTCGTTGTGGGAGGAAATATGGACCGAATAAATGATCATCAATTACCCCAAGCCATACATTTACGGAAAACTGATGCTGAAAATGAGCTTCAAAGATTCCATGGGGGTTTTCCTCAGCCCATAAGTGATTGTTATGGAAATTTCGTATACACTGTCGCCCAAAAGTAGCCCCGTCAGTAAACAAAACGGCATTTAAAAAATTAGGAATTTGAGCAATTTGATGATTAATCCATTGGCAAAAAAATAGGCGCGGAAAAAAGTTTCTAGGTAGTAGAGCTTGCACATGTTCAATATGAAACGGATACAATTGCTGTTCTATAAGAATTTTAAATATAGTGAAGTTGCTTACATTTAATATGTTGGCAATTTTTCGAGTACCTACTTGTTTCAGGTGACTCCGCAATTAACTCGAGAACTGCTTCTTCTAGTTGCACAGTTCGTACTTCTCGAGAGCGCCCAGTCAACCGTTTGTTTCTTAAATGAACCATTTTCGCGCAAACGTTGATGAAGACGAACAAATATTGTGTGATGAGCTACCCTACGTCCCGGATACAACTCAGCATACAATCGTCGAGCTTGCCGACCATTTCCGTTACTTCGACCATAGACAAAATGCATGTCTGACAATTCCGCATTTGTAAAATTTTCCATTCTTTTCGATAAAAGAAAAATTAATTACTTATTAACACTAATGTTATACCAAACTAAAAGCTTAATAAATTAATAATGACGAAACGTTAATTTGACATTTCTTAAAAATATTCGTATTTATGTTGACAGTAACTAGGTAATGTATTAAAGAAATAAAAAATACGCGTTAAGATGATTTTTAATTTGTAATATCTCAGTGGCGTACCATTTTTTTCTTAAAAAAAATGAGATTATTACCCGTACGCATGATGAACATAAAATTCTTAATTGCGTGTCAAAAAATGCGCAATAACTACCTCTTAAAACCCACCAAATTTCATTTGCACATATCGACCGGTTTCAGAGCAATAAATTAAATCGTCAGTTTTTAAGAAAAACTTTGACACCCCGTATCTCGGAAAACGAATCATTTGCGGACATACGTTTATAAGCAAACTGCCATTATTTTCTCATGTAGAATCATCCCCTGAAATTTGTCGCACTTATTTACTAACACCCTGTATAGAAAGAAAACTTTTTTGTTGTATAAGTAGTTTTAGTACTTGATAACAATGTGACACTGAACATTTTTTCGCATTCGTGCTCCAAGATTAAAAATACGGGTCACTGTAAATTCGTCGTCTCGCTTGCCGGAAGATTGAACAACTTATTTTCAATTTGCGAGCAAATAGCGGCGATATTACCTTCCTCTTGCTGAGAAATTGCTTGCGCGAAATATCTCCGCTAAAAGAGATTTTGAATCTTATTACGCCCCTGCAAATATAATAACACGTAACAGATTTGATTACGTCATGGAGCCGATTGACAGTTTGAGTACATAGTTTTAGACTATTACGCTCTCGGGTAGACGGAAAATGGGTTGTGAGATATATTNATCCACACTCCCCACTGATCTCTCACACATACAAGCTTAGCGCGCGCGTTTTGAAATCAGCTCTTATACATACGGACACGAAATAAACTGTAACGATAGTTTCGTCACTGTACTGAGATACTCCCATAGCGATGTTATGGATAATAAAAGTTTAATTTACAAATTTTCTGTTTTGTTTAAAATTAAATATTATGTTTTCACCCAGCTCCGCGGGCCACAACATAACAACCGACGGGCCGCATGCGGCCCGCGGGCCGCGGGTTGGCCACCCCTGTACTATACTTTACCTACGACCACTACTTTAAAAACTTAAAAACACACCGTCTGCGATCAATGCAAGATTCCTATTACGTCGTACAGTAAAAAAATCGCACAGCTTGGTAAAAAAAAATCGTACAGTTTTCCTAGCAACCGCCCAGCAACGGTCAATACAAACAGTATTGTATTGATCGTTGCTAGGCGGTTGCTAGGAAAACTGTGTGATTTTTTTACCGTACGTAATAGGAATCTTACATTGATCGCAGACGGTGTGTTTTTAAGTATTTACAGTAGTGGTCGTAGGTAAAATTAATTAATCGCTGTTTTATTCAAAGCAATCTAATACGACGAAAATCTCCAGTAGTTATGCCTGAAAACTTAACTTTAAAAAATCTTCCTCCTGGAATAAAAAATTACCTCAAATTCAAGTATCTCGGAAACTAGTGGCTTTTCAAAAATTGTTTATATCACAAAAGTTGCTTATAATTTAGAGATCTTTCATGTGCGCCACTTTTCAAAACTGCTATCAACAAAATATGTTTTCGGATTGCAGCGACATCTATACCTGCACTGAGAAGAACGGGATTTGTACTCACAAGTTAAACCATTTATTGAAATTATACAGTGGATTTTTCAAAAATCATTTATCTTTTTCCGTTGATGATTAATTGTCGAAATATTTGAAAAAAAACAAAATTTTGGAAATTCGTTTTTGTTTCATTTCAGCCTTGTTTGAGGTAATATTGAAAAAAGAAAAACACTTTCTCATGGCTACTTTTGCCCTCTTTCGAATGGCATAATCAATTTTTGTATGTAACGTTTCGTCTCTCCAGCACCATCATCAGCTTCATACGACCCTAGAAATTTTATTACATTTTTTGCAAACCTTCATGTTCCCCAATACTGTACTGCCTCAGCCCGAACAATATTCAGACGTTTTGTCTCGAAAAATTAATCTTGAGTGTATTCGTTCCAAATTTATCTAAATTTTTTATTTAGATTTCTTTGTTTATTGAATTATCGTTCACCGTAAGTGTCGTCAGACCCTGTGAAATCCATCTAGTAATTTAAACTATTACCACCACGCGTTACAATAAAACATTTATTATTATTAACTATTACCATCACTTGGTCATACATAACTCAATAAGTTGTTGTGTCAAAATTAAAACATTATTACAATTTTAATTTTATTATGACAAATTAATTCTTAAAAATGCATATGAACCACCAAAATACCGAATGAATATTNCCCGTATCTCGGAAAACGAATCGTTTGCGGACATACGTTTATAAGCAAGCTGCCATTATTTTCTCATGTAGAATCACCCCCTGAAATTTGTCGCACTTATTTACTAACACCCTGTATGTGGTAGTATTGATATATAAGTAATTCATGCTGGGTCAAATGACCCCTTGAAAATTTCGAATGGACTTGTAGTCTATATGGCGATAATCACCAGATCTAAGTTTTCTTAAGATATTTTGTTAATCAAAATTCATACGCGAACTCTTGGTATCCGAGATTCTCCTGGGGAGCCTACTTTAATCCATTAAAAAATTTTTGTACATTTGAACACAAGCAGACAATTTTAACAAAAATTATTTTTTCATAAAGAAACTCCCTCTTTTCACCTCCATCCGGAGAGACAAGTACAGAGCATTCATAAGTGATTACAAGCCATGTTGCTTAGGCAACCAACATTCCACGACTGGTACTGTTTACTATAACAAAATTACTGATCATGTGGCTCGTAATCATTTATGAAGGCTCCGTATTTGTCTTTAAAACTTTGACTATTGAAAGTTGTTTTGAAATTTCTTGCAATTGCACATCATATGCTAAAAGCACGTTGTTATCACAAATTCGTGAATTCTAGATAACGTGCTACTTTCGTCCTACATAAAAACACTCGTTCAATTAACGTATCAGTCGTTATCGTGTATCCGAGCAATCAATAAAAATGTGCAGCGTTGTACCTTCTCAAGTTCACGAAGTGCTAAAAAATGTGGTCAAAGGGGATATCGAAAATTTCGAGGTGGTCATACACGACGCCAACAAGAAAGGTGATGGATTCCTGGGGGATATGGTATTCATAACACTGAAAAACAAACAATCAGAAGAGGTGTTTGACCTAGTTGTGAAACAAGCTTTCACAAAGCAAACTGTCAGGGACACCAATCCAATTCGGCAGGTGTTCATGAACGAGATTTACTTCTACACTAAAGTTTGGACACGTCTTAACAAGTTTCAAGAGAGAATTCCGGTGCAGTTCCAGTTCCACAAGCTACCCAAATATTTCACCTCGATTTCTGAAGAAGTTTCGGAGAAATTAGTATTAGAAAACTTGAAGCTTCAGAAGTTCGAAGTGCACAACAAAAAGATACCTTTGGGCAAACAATATTACGAATTAATTTTTAGGGAGTACGGAAAGTTTCACGCTTTATCGTTCGCTTACAAGTCTTTCTACCCTGAGGAGTATGTTAATCTAGCAAAGGGGTTACTAGATATATATCTAGATTTCATTAATAGAGATGGATTTAGCGCAGCAATTAAATCGGTAAATGATACTGTGATGGATTTCCTGCAACCAGGACTAGACGATGCTGTTATAGAGAAATTTAGGCCTTACATTGAAAACTATGTAGAGCTCTTTAAGAATAGTATAGACTGTAATGCTAAATATAGCGTTATTACCCACGGGGATTGTTGGAGTAACAATATGATGTTCAAATACAGCGTAAGTAAAACAGTCATTTTAAAGTTCTCCATTTCCAACATTTCTTTCTTTAAATTTCCATTGAGGATCGATACAATTATGTATTACATGAGATGATAAATTAGAAATGATAAGTAGATAGACATAATCCTATTTTTATTCTTGGTTAGTTATTTAGTAAACAATGTTTCCCCGGGGTTTAGTCAGAAAGAAACAATAATCACATTTTGCTAATAAGAAGACGCGATTTTTAACTTATTTAGAGTAGACGGAAATTGCAAAAAGTAAGTAAATTTTTAATTTAAATTTAATACAAGGTGTTAACGAAGTAAATACTCAGAATTGGAGAGTATATAAAACATGTCGAAATATGATGAAAACCTTAGTAGAGTTTTTGTCAGTGGCGGCCCCTAAGGGAGATACAGCCCCTTGAAGGGGCAACTCAGGAAACAGTTTTTATTTCATAACTTCAAAACGGTTTGATATTAGATCACGAAATTTTGGGGTTGTATTACTATTTATATGCTTAATAATCGGCATAAAATACAAATGAAAATTTGAAGAAAATGCGGGACCATAGGACAAATTTACAATTTTGTGGCAACCGACCCGCAAATTGTTCTACCATTAACAACTGCCGCGGTAGCCTGCAAACCAAATAAACGTAGCTTTTCTAATTAAAAAATGGAAATAATAAATTAGAACTCTGAACTCTAAATTTTCTAGTTCTGCCCAATTATTGAGAATTTCTAAATAAATACGAATTTAAAATATTTTACTAACGGTTATCAATCGAAAATTGGATTATGTTTAGCTCCGTATCTAGAATTTTGAGAGGAAGCCACGCCATTAGATGTGAATGTTGATTCTTTAGTAAATGAAATATTGTTATGAAAGAATCTCCATCAAGTAATTTGTGATGAAACACTGGTTTGAATAGCTAAATTTTGTTGTATACCACAATTCTTTGAATTTGAGATCTGCTAATATCTATGTTTTCTGACCTTTTCCTGAGTAACATCTTTGGATTGCTTCGTACAGAATCCATAACTACAACAGTAGCATCATCGTTATCATTATATTCTTTTTTATCTTTTTAATATTCTTTACGTCACCTGTGGTATCGAATTGTATAATTAGCTTGCGAATTGCTCAACGAGTTTCAGTTACATTTGGATACTTTTCATTAAAAATTTGTATTGTATATAGTTGTATATAGACATGAACAAGATAAATTCGTGCTTATTCTTCTTTTCTATTCTGCTATTTTTCAAATTATTGAAACCGGATTACGCCATGCAGTAAATCGATTTTATTTTTTTTACTCGAAAACGGGGCATCATAAGAAAAACAGTCAAGATATATTTTCTCTTCCAAATTGGACAATAAATTCAAAAAATAATTTTTGTTTTAAGAGACATAAGTGGTGTATCATTTTTGTCTTTAAAAATATCCAGAGACGTCCTGTGCGCACACCACTGGTGAATATGAAAACAATATTTTTATCGTAAAACATGTATTTTTGTTAACTGTCAAAGCCTGTAAAATTTCATTAAAATATTCTGAGCGGTTTCCGCAATATTTATAAATATGCATTTTTTTATTAAAACTTTAACACCCTGTAGATCGGAAACTAAGCGTTTTCGGAATATGGTATATTAATGAGATATATCACAAATCACTTGTACTATAACATCCTGCAAGGAATGCATCGACTTACTAAACACCCTATATACAGGGTGTCCCGTTTAAAACTCCCCAGCTGGATATCTCGAAAACGGAAAAAGATAAATGATTTATGAAAAATCCACTGTATAGTTTCAATAAATGGCCTTACTTGTGAGTACAAATCCCGTTCGTCTCAGTGCAGGTATAGATGTCGCTGCAATCCGAAAACATATTTTGTTGACAGTAATTTTGGAAAGTGACGCACATGATAGATCTCTAAATTATAAGCAACTTATGTGATATAAACAATTTTCGAAAAGCCACTAGTTTCCGAGATACTTGAATTTGAGGTAATTTTTTTTCCAGGAGGAAGATTTTTCAAAGTTAAGTTTACAGGCATAACTACTGCAGATTTTCGTCGTATTAGATTACTTTGAATAAGACAGTGATTAATTAATTTTATTTAACTAATAGATATCACAGGAAATTACTTCATTTAATCTTGTTTACGCAAATCATAGTCTTTTCGATTAAGATAAAGTAATATTTATTTAACAAAAACTGATGCAAAATTAACAAAAATTACAAATAATATCCATAGTCAGTGAATATAATGTTATTTAAAAACTGGTCGTTTTCTTGAACTTTCTTTTGTTTTCTTGAAGTGTCAAAGTTGATTACATATTATTATTACCATAACTAGAAGTCTACACCTTCAACTTTGACACATTTGACATTTATTCAGTATGGTTCAGTACGCGAATGAAGAAAAGCTCGACATAATTTTAATATTCGGTGAATGCCGTAGAAATTCCAGAGAAGCAGAAAGATTTTATCAGGTACGTTACCCAAACCGTCGACATCTCGATTATAAAACCTTTTTGTCTTTACCGACGAATTTGCTTCATTGTGGTTCTTTTAACAAAAAGAAGCATCGTAGAAACACTTTCACAAATGATAGAAACACTGCCGTGGTATTAGATAAGGTTGAAACTAATCCGCATATCTCGGTGCGAGCTATACAACAAGAAACGGGGACTTCCGGAACATCGGTCCATAATATAACGTATCATCCTTACAAAGTGCATCTTTTACATAATTTACATCCTGGTGATATGCTACGAAGACTAAATTTTATTGCAGAAAGGCTCAAGAAAATAACCAGTTTTTAAATAACATTATATGGCCTGACGAGAGTCGATTGACAAAAAATAGAATTGAATAGACATAATAGCCATTTCTGGCATGCCAGTAACCCTAGATGGACCAAAGACAGACATTTCCAAACCACGTTTTCTATAAATGTATGGTGTATTATTAATGGCATATTAATTGGACCCTATTTATATGAGGACAATTTGAACGGTCGCAATTATTTACAATTCCTTCATACCCAACTAAATGTTCTTTTGGAAGAAGTTCCTTTAGTTGTGAGACAAAATATCTGGTTCCAACAAGACGGGGCACCAGCTTATAACGAAAGGGGGGTGCAAAATTTTCTTCATGAATATTTTCAGGGGCGATGGATGGCAGTAATGGTCCAATAAGGTGACCTGTCCCCACCCCTTATTTAACCCCACTCGATTTTTTCTTGTGGGGTTATGTAACCTAATTTACCAAACAGAAATTGAAGACTTGGCTGACTTGTGCAATAAAATTTATGCGAGCTGTTCGTCTATTCCTCGAAATGTTTTATTACGGGCAACTGATACCGAACAACTTAGAAAAAGATATAAATTTATGTATTCATGAGAATGGCGGCAATTTTAAACACTTATTGTGACTCGTGTATTGTTAATTTAGTATCGTTTATTTGTAATTTTTGTTAATTTTGCGTCAGTTTTTGTTATATAAATATTACTTTATCTTGATCGAAAAGACTATGAACTGTGCAAACAATTAAATGAAGTAATTTCCTGTGATATATATTAGTTAAATAATAGTTATTTATGTATCTAGGGAATTATAAGGGCCTTAATTACCGATGGCAAAGTTTGCGTCCCGAGGGCGTCCGGCCCGAGGGACAGCAATTGCCTGAGGTTATTAAGGCTCATTAATTCGCGTGGTACATAGATAAATTTCTTTCTGACCGATTTCAATAAAATATTGTTTATTTNAGATTGATCCTTATATGTTCAGAACAACAACACGAACACACCTTAAAACACGTTCAGTGCCATCTCTTTTATATGTTTTGTGGTGCCATCCAATCACGAGAAGTTGGGCGTGATGTAATATACCGACAATTTTAAATTGTCTCATGTTATGGACGTGTTATAGTTATTCATGTACTTAGGGAATTATAAGGGCCTTAATTACCGATGGCAAAGTTTGCGTCCCGAGGGCGTCCGGCCCTAGGGACAGCAATTGCCTGAGGTTATTAAGGCTCATTAATTCCCGTGGTACATAGATAATTTTATTTCTGACCGATTTCAATAAAATATTGTTTATTTTTAAAACGAAAAAAATGTACCAATTTATTACCTTCCCAGTATATTTGAATCAGGTACCATTGATTATAAGAGTTTTGTTGTTGCTAGGTTGTTGCTAGGTTGTTGCTATGTTACGTGTTTATAAACAGAATTGTTACTTGTTTATAAACAGAACTTTGTTATCAAGCTGTTTGCGTTAAAAACGTGTTTTCTACCCCAAATATAATGGAGCAGATTTTGAAAAAAGCTGAAAAAGCAAGAGAATCATTAATTCCATCGAAAAGTGAAGCCGTATACCAAAAAGAATACAAGATATATCTGAAGTGGCTGACACGGAATAATGTTATGCCAAAAGATGCCACTGAAACTGTATTACTGGCATATTTTCAAGAATTGGTAAGGAATATTCTATGTATTTCGGTAGATTTGGTAGTAATTTTGTTTATTCGTTGCAGTCAGAAACGTATAGTCCGAATTCTTTATGGACTAAATGGTCAATGCTAAAATCGAAGGTGAATATACATGAGAAACGAGATATCGCCAAGTTCAATGAACTAGAGGCTTTTTTGAAACGGAAGAGTAAGAGTTATAAGCCGAAAAAGTCTGCTGTTTTATCTCCTAATGATGTTATCAGATTTCTAAAGAACGCTCCTAATGAAATTCATTTATTGCATAAGGTAATTTTTTTCTTATTTTCCTTTTTGTGTGTATTTATTTCCTTTTTTGTTTTAGGTTGTTTTGATTATGGGTTATTTTGGAGGATGCAGAAGTCAGGAACTTTTGAATATGAAGATATCGGATATAGAGGACCGGGATTCCGTTATGGTAGTGAACGTACCGGAAAGTAAAACTGGTGTATCGAAGAAATTTACAATTGTGGATGAAAAAGAGTTCTCTGCTTTGCCTTTATTAAGACTTTATATGTCTTTGCGTCCTAAAGGTATTGAACGATTTTTTTTGCGCTTCCGACAAAATAAATGTACATCTCAGCCAATTGGAAAAAACATGTTTGGGAAAATTCCCAGCAAAATCGCAATGTATTTAGGATTGCCAAACCCATCTTCCTATACGGGACATTGCCTTCGTCGCACTTCTGCTACTGCTCTAGCTAATGCAGGGGAGGTTGGAAAAGTTCCACGGTGGCGGAGGGGTATCTGGAGGATAACATCGAATTGAGAAATAAAACGGCGCGTATGTTGTCTACTTTGCCATTAGAAGAGGCAGGTACCTCGACTGTAGTGAACAGAAGCTCCAGCCATACAAAAGAAAAAATTGTTTCCAGTGGCGGTAGTAATTTTCAGGGAACATTTCAAAATTGTACATTTATTATTTGTAATGACGCAAATAAATAAAATATGGTTCAGTTTTCATTTCATAAATATATACACATATATGTATATTAGCATTTTTTATTTTATTTTTACTTGTGAAAGGTAGAGGGAATTATAGAATCTATAATGTCCCAAGGGAGTTATGACTCTCTTTATTGATAGCGTAACTATGACGATATAAGCTTATAATATCCCGGTCAGATATAAAATTATTTTCACATTATTAAATATCGCGTATTGTAATATACATTATCTGCTTTTTAATATGATGATACATAACATGAAAAGGTATTGCTATATCACGAAATTGTTACATTTCCTATTATGTAGGCTATAGTGATTTCATTTCACAGAACTCGTGCGTGCACTTAAATATTTCGAATTGATTTTACGAGCAAATTTACGTCTTATGTAATTACCTACTAATAATTACTAACTTTTTTTGCATGGATGTTTTTCTTTTTTAGTGATATAAATAATTTTATAGGTAAGGTATATAACGTACACATTCTTTCTTTATTTTAACCTTCTTTTACCATTCCAGTCACAGAGAAACCAGTTGAGGAACGTCAAAATTGGAAGAATACAAAATCTGGCCTATTAATTAGTATTCCCAAGGAACAGTATTGGATGTTCCATTCCTTTCAACAACACAAGTAGACTTATACTACAAGGTGTTAACGAAATCAGTACTCAAAATTTGAGAATGTGTAAAATATCGAAATATGATGAAAACCTTAGTAGAGTTATTGTCAGTGGCTGCACCTAAGGGAGATACAGCCCCTGAGTTACGCCTTCAAGGGGCCGTATCTTCCTTAGGGTCCACCACTGACAAAAATTCTACTAAAATTTTCATATGTTTTTTAAACGCTCCCAAATTTTGAGTACTTATTTCATTAACACCTTGTATAACACAAATATACAGGCTGGTCACTTTTACAACACCCAATACAGCGATCTTGGAAAAGGTAATATTTACAAGGTGGCTTAAATTAGACAAAGGTTGCACGTTTTTATGCCATTCAATTTTCTGAATAAAAATATGAGATATTTTATGTAGTTCCTGAGGCTGAAAACTGAAAAAGTGCTTTTTATGAGTTTTTCTGTAGCCATTTTGCTAGTTTGGTACGTGTGAACCAATTTTGGCTTTGTTTTGCGGATTTTATTTAGCAACTTAATGCTTGCGTTTATGTGCTTTATGAAATACTGGGATACAACTGCTATTTCAAGAACTACACAAAATATCTCATATTTATTTTTAGGAAATTGAAGGGCATAAAAACGTGCAAATTTTTCCTAATTTAAGCTACCCTGTATATATATTACCGTTTCCGAGATACCTGTATGGGGCGTCGTAAAAGTGACCTTTGAAAAATAAAAATTAGAAGAAAATGTAAAAATATGTAAAGAAACAATTTTATAAAAATAACTTTATGGGCAAATCTCTGCCACGTCAGAATGAATAACTTCTATTCTACTTCTAGTTGCTCTCAATATAACCTCAATAATAATGCAATATTTTATATCTCACAACAATGTTGTACGAGAATCACTAAATTTGGTACACAGGGGTTTTATGACATGTGGAATCTCACAGTGCTACGCCTTTTTGGCGAAAAAATCCCTTAAGACACTTTCTCGTGGGCCCCCTTGTTTTTGGAACCAGAAAAATTTGGTTACAAATTTTAATTTTTTTTAATTATTAGCTAGAAAGCCATTGAATTTAGAAACTTTTTTGTCTTTTGATATTTGTTTCGTAAAACACAATGTTTTTAAGGAAAATGGAGAATCAGGATATGCATTCGATCACATTTTGACATCTTTCTCGAAAACATTGCGTTTACAAAAAAAGTATAAAGAGACAAAAAAGTTTCTAAATTTAATGGCTTTCTAGTGGACTGATAATTTTTAAGAAATTTAAATATGCAACCAAATTATTTTGGCTCCAAAGACAAGGGGGGCCCACAAAAAATAGTCTCAGCGTAGCACCATCAGATTCCACGTCATAAAACCCCTGTGTACCAAATTTAGTGATTTTCGTCCAACAGGATTCTGAGATATAAAAAAAAGATTATTCTTAGTAGCGGACTTCAGGGGCTGTAACTCCGAAAAAAGGGGCTAGTTGGCAAAAAGAAAAAATACGGGTTCCTTAAATTTGTCTTAAGGATCTGTGACCAAATTTTGTTGCATGAATTTCGGGAAACCCTGTATAGCGGTGGCTGTCCGTTGCTGTTCGCTGTCATTGAGCGAACCGTGCAATGCTGATGAGACTAGAGAAACTCGAAACAGTCACCTATTGATTTGGCATTCAATGTCATCGATGGAAACCAGACTTCCTAAGAAACAGTGCCGATCCAATTACATAATATTGAGCATTTCAATTGTAAATAGGCAATATTTTATCATTTTATCTAAATAAAATTAATGTATACTAAGCAGTAAGTAAAAATCATTGATTTTTATGTTATCTAATGAAGAAAATTACAGTAACAACAAATTAATCAAAATTAAACAGCAGACTAAATCCTTGTATGTAGAAAGATACAAAAATACTTGTTAATGTTTGCATTACGAAAGTACTGATTTTTAGAAATAGCTTTTGTAAATAAACTTGACCTTAAATTTTTAGAAAGATTTATTAATTAAACAACTCATTTTAGTTAACAAAGGACATTTAAAAAAAATACTATAAAAGCAGCATAAATATTTCAATTATATTTACGATTTTAAATAGAATGAATATCTTAACTTTATTAACAACTTATAAAAATTCTATAATTTTATTTTAACAATGGACATTTAAATGCGATGTATGAATCTAAATTTGAGAGGTTTTGTAGGCGAAGCAAGCAATTCATTAGAACTCTGCATATCCCCATAGTTATACTCGATTTTAAATTTTTGAAATACTTTAGCTAGTAGTAAAGCTATTTCCAACTCTACCAATTCCTTCGCTAAACATGCTTTGGGTCCATGCCCAAATGGCATTGACGCAAAAACTTGAAAATCATTTCCGAAGCCACCCAGTTCATTAGCTAGCCAACGCTCAGGCTTAAATTTAAGAGCATCTTCAAAATATTCTTCTCTCATACTGTTAAGATGGGTAGCAAATAAAATATGAGTACCTTTGGGAATAAGATAATGATTAATTACAATATCATTGTTTAGGTGTCTGCTTAGAATCGGTATTGGTGGATCAAGACGTAAAGTTTCCTTTATGCATGCATTAAGATATTTCATTTTATTCACGTCCTCCTTATTTAAGTTTCCTTCAAATTGCCTGATTTCTTCATATAGCTTGATTTGACAACGGGGATTTCTTGCCAAATGATAGAAAATAAAAGCAACTGTGTGAGCAGTAGCATTTATTCCTATTAGAAACATGTCTAGTAAGACAGTCATTACATCTTCAGCGGCAACTTCTTCTTTCAATAGAAGAACTTCCAAAAGTGAAATATTATTATCTAAATTAGAACGTTTGTCCTTTCTTTCTCTTAAGTTGCTCATCGCTCTCTGAATGTGTTTATCTAATACGCCATCTATTATGCCACAATTTCTTACTAAAGCTTTCCAAGCTGGTGTTTCCATAAATTTCCACAAATGAAACCCTGAACAATTTTAAAAATATTTCAAATTTTTAAGTAATTTTAAATATCTATAATTAATTTGTTGTACAACTACACTACATGGCATCACATTATCATTTATAATGAATTTGTAACATTAAAGAAATTATTTTTTTACCGCTATTGTTGTCGGTTATAAACTATAAAGGACTAAGTACGCACAATCCTTATGGAAAGTGGCTTTCGGCAAATTTTTTTGAAACTTTGCTGTGATCTGATCGCATGAATCAAAAGTCTCAATGGGCATAGTCTTTGTTTTCGACCTACGGCCCCTGGAAGTTGAATTTTTTACCCCTTATTTTTTTATTGCGAATTCCGATTCAACACCGAAAAATGTGAAACTCTTGTGTCAAAATTTTTTGTCTAAAATGCATTTTTTGACCCTAAATGACCTTTGAAGTTGACCTCGTGCTGATTCCTGTAAAAGGATACTTCCAGTCAGAACCAGAAGCTGAAAACATCTCTAATTGATCGGGCAAGATCCATTTATTATTAACAATGTAATTTTTAAAAAAGAAACATTACTATAAGTAAGAATTTACTATACAGCGTAAGGGGAAAAAAACAATTTTCAAGGGCCATAGGTCGAAAACAAAGGACTTTCAAACTTTGTACCCGTTGAACTTGTTGTACTTTTGAAAGTGTTGCATTGAAATTTGCTGTATCTTACTTTTTGGAGAGTGCTAGTGACATTTACACATTTTATAACGTTTTTGAGGTAAGGTTTTTCATAATTTATGATGTAAAAGATAATGTTTAACTTGTTTAAATTAAAAATACTGTTTCTACTTAACTCAAAACATAATTAACCGATTTGAACAAAATTTGCTGTTGTTTAGTTTCTCTTCATGACATATGCAGTGATTATGTTCCTATTAAGTTAAATCACATGTACTTGAAGTTCCGAACGTTCGTTTGAACGAAAATGAAAACCCGTAATATCACATTTAATCATATTAAAATGATTTTACCACCTATATTCTGGCTTCTGTAGACGAAAACAACACTTCCGCATCATCGGAAGCCACCCCCCATATTAACCACCCTTAAAACTTAGTTACACGTATTTTAGAAAATTAGCTCCGTACCACCCTTATATCATAAAGTTGTTAACATTACTTTTATACTGATTTTTAAAAACCATTCAGACCTTTTGCCACTATCGGAAGACACCCTGTCAACAACCCTTAAATCTGTCATAACTTATATCTCCAATCAAGCTTAAAAAGCCACGTTAAATTTGATTTAAAAAGTATACGTTTTATTTATAGCCATTTACAAAAACTATTGACGCCCTTTGTTGTCACCGGAAACTATGAACTACCCTTGAAAGGGTGAAGTATTCTAATCCAAATAACAGGCCTGCTATCACTTTAAATTTGAGTTAAAATTTCAACATAACATCTGTACTGAATTATTACTACTATTATTGCCCTTCATTGCCATTAGAACCCACCCTGCTAATTACCCTTAAACAGGTAATATCTTATATCCCCTATATAATGCAGAAAGCCATAGTAGATTTTAAGTAAATTGTTCAAATTATATTTACATTGACTTATAACAACTATTAATAAACTTTCTTGCCACCGGAATCCACCCCGTCAACTACCCTTACATCAGTAGTGTATTATATCTCCGATATCACGCTTAAAGCCATAATCGATTTTAAATAAATTGATAAAATTATATTAATAATAATAATAATAATAATAATAATAATGTCTCTACTCCTCATTCTAACTACGAGAATTAGCCCAGAAGTCGGAGACTTCTGCGGGAGAGGAGGCGGCATATTATTATTACGCAGGCCGCATTTGCGCCCAGGAATGATAAATGTTATAATA